GTTCTCATTTCACATTAGTGAATTAGTGTAAGCCTGTTCACATATTTATGTTTCCCCAGTTTGGCTGAAAGACTTAACGAGAGGCTGCAGAACTAAAGGGAACTCCAACTATCCACTTGAGGTTCAGTTCCCCTTTATGTTTCACTAAGCAGGGACTCAGTGGCATTTTGGTAAATTCTGTAATCATGTTTTCCCCTTATTTTGAAATATTTCAGGTTTGTGGAAAGTAAAAAAAAAAATACAGTAAATGCCACTCTGAGTGCATGCTTGCTCTCTGTGTATTTTTTTTCTTACTGTAAGGTTGAGTCATGACTTAAAACTTCATCAGGTATCTTCTAAGAACAAAAGCAGTCTCCTGTATCTTTTCCACAGTAGCTCTCCTTTTTTACACTTTTTAATCTTACACAAAACTTAAATATTTATAAAAGTAAAGGAACTTGTACAATGAATCCCATTTACTCATCATCCAGCTTCAACAGTTATCAACTCATGGCCTATCTTAGTTCATTTATATCCCCTCCACATCTTGGAGCCACCTTTCTGTGAATAAATTATGAAGCTTCATTGAAAGAGTGAGAAAGTAGGATTTATTATGTGCAACTTTGTTTTGTATGCTAAGTAATCATTATAACTACCAGATGACAATTACGTGAGAATGCTATCAGCCGGGTCTCTGTTAAGAACTTAGAATACTGGTTCCCAAGTACTTACCTGAGTATGTGACAAAGTTCTTAGCAATATGTAGTGAAATGAAATAAAGATACTGTAATGAGTTTTTCCCTAAAGCTAACTTGCTTCAATTTAAAGGACTACTCTTTATTCTGACAATATTCTCTTTCTGCTCTTTTTGGAGGTTTAACCATCTTTTCTGAAATAATGGTTTTGGTGGCGGTAGAGTGGATTTTTCATTTGTTTATCTACATGTTTCACTGTTTGTACTTGGCAAAACAAGAAGTTGGCAAGTTGTCAGCTCATAATCTTTCTGGAAATTTTGTTAGTCTGTGAAATCTAAAATCTGGAAACTACTGCTTTAGAAGACCAAATGACGTTAGTGCCATTCAGTACCATCAGTATGGGGAATTTAACATTCAGCAGAGGCAGAAAGAGGACAGTGAAATGAAATACCCTTAGATATACATTATTTTTGCAGTTCACATATTATTGTTTCTTTGATGCTTTAATTATTATTTTACTTTTTAAGAGAAAGATTTTTAATCAATTTCATTTTCTGTTTTTTATAAAAATAGCTTCTTTGTCCCCCTTACTCCCATACTGGTCTACTGTGAGAGGCACTGTCACAGGGCCTAGAGTTTTGACTAGAATGGTTGAGTGAATTTATGTAGGATGAGTTTGATGAATCTAAATCTGGAGCCTACTCGGTACAGTCAGTCTCTGAATAAAGTAGAAATTTAGACTTTCTCTTGCCCATCAAAACTTCCTTTTTAAAAAACTGACATATATTAATTTCAGGTGTACACTATGTGTTTTCTGTCACAGGTCTGAAAGATAGAGTTAATGACGTTTCCAAGCTGAGCAACAAGACTGGGAAAAATCATGATTTCCATGTGGAAGACCAGGTTTTACCTCCAAGCAGGTACAGGATTTTCTCATTTTCCTATTTTATTCATAGGTATTTAGTGTAGGTATTTAGGACTAATGACTTCTGACTGGACTGGAAGCATTTTTATTTAGTAATACAATCACTTAATTATTTCTTAATAAAACTGGGGAGGGGGGAGAATTCAGTGTTCGAATATAAGCCTTAAGAGGTCTCAATAACTTAAACAGAAGAGTAATAATTTGTAATGATTAGTATCAGAGGGTCAGGAAGCAAACGTTTTTTAACCAGTGAGTAAGTCAGAGCAATTGTTGGAATGTTCACCCTGGGATTCCAGTTAATAAAATATGAATTGGGTGGGTTTCGAATCCTCTCTAACGGATGTGGAGTAACTTGTGATAGCTGTCTATTGCTGCATAACAAGGTATCCCAAAACTTAGCAGCTAATCACAGTGTTCACTATGACATAGTTTCTGTGGGTCAGATACATGGGCATGGTTTGGCTGTGTGTGCCTCTGGCTCAAAGTCTCATGAGGTTGCAGTCAGTCTGTGGACTGTTGGCCAGAGCTTCCCTCACTTCCTTAACAAATGGCAGCTGGCTTCCATACCCCAAGTGCAGAGGCAGAAAGCATAGACCCTTTGTTCTACTCTCAGAGGTGGCAGACCATCCACTGTGCTATATTGTTTGCTAGAAGGGACTCTAAACACAGCCCACACTCCAGGAGAAAGGATTACATCAGGGTGTGAATGCCAGGAATCACATCTTTGGGGTCATCTTATCAGCTGCCTACCTTATAGCTCCTATCAGTTACTCTTTTAAGATATTACAGATAAAATAACATGGATAAAAAGTTTAATTTTCTAAGGGTGATGTATTCAAATGCTTTTTTTTCTAGCTTCATAAATCAGTTTAATTTGTGAATCAGGACTAGAACTCTGTTGCTAAATAATGCTCCCCTGCCCCCATCAAGCTTTATTTTGATTCTTCTTAGTTATATTGACATTGCAATTAAAAGAACCATTCAATAAGGATCAGTTGAATGGCTCTGCTGGTTTTTGGCAGTTAAGCGGGTAGACTAGTTGTCAGATTTTACATTTAAAAGAGTTCTAATTTTCCACCAATAGAAAATAAGGGCAGCTTGTGATTAGTCAGCTACTTTAAATGCTTTTGTTACTTGGCAATTTCAGGGACCCTGTTACTTGAGTTCCGCTCTCTGTCACAAGTTGCCTCCCTGGTCTCATTCTCTGATTGATTGCCTTTGCCTTGTGCCAATGGGTGTCCATGCGAAGCACAGTTTTTCTAGGGACAGGTTTTCAATGAAACTCAGATCTCCTAGCATCTCTCTTACTGTTTATATGTTTGTTGCTGGCAGGAGAGGAGAAAACAGTGAAACAGGGAGAGAGTGAAGGTCTGCTAAAGGGGTGGTAGTGAGGGAGTAGGGATAGGGCAGGGAGAAGAAATGAGAGATGAGAAATGAAGCAGGGGAAATAGTTTAAGAGTAGTTTCAGTTTTACAGAATGATTGTAATTCCCACATACCGTCCCCCCCCCCCACTTCTGCAGTTTTCCCTATTATTTACATCTTTTCTTAGTGTGGTGCATTTGTTATCATTGATGATCCAGTATTAATATATTATTATTAACTCAAGTCCATAGTTTACATTGAGGTTTGCTTTTTGTGTTGTATGTGGGTTTTGAAAAATGCATAATGACATGTATTTACCATTCTTCTACCATACAGAATGATTTCTCCCCCCTTAAAATCCCTGTGCTCTATCTATTCATCCTTCCCCACAAACCCTTAGCTACCAATGATCTTTTTACTGTCTCCTTAGGTTTCTAGAATGGCCTGTAGTTGTAGTCATACAATATATAACCTTTTCAGATTGGCTTCTTTCATTTAGCAGTATGCACTTAAGATTCCTCCATGTCTTTTTGGGACTTGATAGCTCATTTTTTTAGTGCTGAATAATATTCCACTGTCCAAATGAGTCAGTGTATTTATCCACAGACTTACAGAATGACATACTGGTTGCTTCCAAGTTTTGGCAATTATGAATAAAGCTGCTATAAACCTCTGTGCAGGTTTTTGTGTACATAAGTTTACTTACGTGAGTACATACCAAGGAATACAACGGTTGGATTATATGACAAAAGTGTGTTTAATTTTATAAGAAACTGACAAACTGTCTTCCAGAATAACCATACTATTTTGCATTCCCACAGCAATGAATGAGAGTTCCTGTTGCTCTACATCCCTACCAGCATTTGATGTTGACAGTGTTTTGGATTTTGGTCATTCTAATAGGTGTGTAGTGGTATCTCATTGTTATTTTAATTTGTAGCTCCGAAATGACATGTAATGTTGAGCATCTCTCATATGCTTATTTGCCAAGTGTATGTTTACTTTGGAGATGTGTCTGTTCAGAACTTTTCCTGTTTAAATTTGGGTTGTTTTCTTACTGTCGGATTTTAAAAGCTCTTTGTGTACTTTGGATACATGTCCTTTATCAAATAGATGGTTTGCAAAGATTGTGGCTTATCTTTTCATTCTCTTAACAGTGTGTGTCTCAGAAGTTTTTAATTTTAATTAAGTCCAGCTTGCCAATTTTTTCTTCCATGGATCTTGCTTTTGGTGTTGTATGTAAAGGTCATTGCTAAACACAGGGTCATGTAGATTTTTTTCCTATGTTATTTTCTAGAAATTTTACAGCATTATGTCTTACATTTAGGTCTGTGATCTGTTTGTGGAAGGTCTGTGCCTAGATTCATCTTTCTGCATGTGGGTGTGCAGTTGTTCTAGCTCTTTGTTGAAAGACTGTCCTTTCTCCATTGAATTGCCTTTGCTGTTTTTTTTAAGGGTAAAAAGAGCAGTATTTCTGGCTTCTATGACTGGCAATATAGTTGTACCATTGAGACTGGGAATACATGAGAAACAGGTTTGGAGTGGCAAGACAGTGAATTCAGTTTTAGACCTGCTGATTTGGAAATATCTATGGATATTCAGATATTATCAAAAAAGGAAAATTCTTTCCTAGATTTTAGGTCTAGAAGCAAATGAAAGATAACTTAGTTCATTGCTGTATGTAAACATAAATGGAAACTAAGTCACATATTATCTAGGTTGGATACAAAATCATTGTTAAAGCTGGCTTGACTGCAATGCAGGATTCTTCCTACTGCATAGGGAGGACTGCTCTGTAATGATGAGAGGCCTTTCTGAGAGGTTTTATTGATGCCCTTGATATCTACGTCTAACCTCAGCCTTTTCTACTCTGCTGCAGTCCAAACATAATTCCTGGCCTTTCCCTGTTAACATAATGCTTTTTCGTCATATCAAATGCTGTTTGGGACTTAGGAGATAACCTTATAACAGTTTTTGGGTAGAGAAAATAATTTGCTCATTTAACCCTCTTATAGTCTGGAAGACAAGGTTGAGGAAACAATACACAATGCCTTTTGGGACCATCGTAAGGAGCAACTATCAGCTACTCTCCCGGACTTCAGTTGTGCTCTTGAACTTCTGAAAGAAATTAAAGAGGTGAGTAACTGACCTTCCATTTGTAGATGTAAAGTTCCTAGACATCACCAACTCATTGGAATGTCATTGGCTAGCAAATCCTAACTGAACATGGCCTATGAATCAGTCAGAGTAATCAGTAGACAGAAATCACATAGTAGCTTCAACAAAGAAGTTTTTTTTTTTTGAGAGGGCATCTCTCATATTTATTGATCAAATGGTTGTTAACAACAATAAAATTCTGTATAGGGGACTCAATGCACAATCATTAATCAACCCCAAGCCTAATTCTCAACAGTCTCCAATCTTCTGAAGCATAACAAACAAGTTCTTACATGGCAAACAAGTTCTTACATAGTGAATAAGTTCTTACATGGTGAACAGTACAAGGGCAGTCATATCACAGAAACTTTCGGTTTTGATCACGCATCATGAA